CTTTTACGTCCCACAAGAGCAGATCAGTGAAAGTGCTGTGAGACGGGACCTACGGTTTTTCGTCCTTATCCGAGAAGACTAGAAAGTCTAACCATTTGCAGATGTCATTACAAAGGCAGAACTTTTTTCACAGTTATTTTAAGAACCTAAGTGTTGGTCCGGCCGGGGTTGAACCCGCGACCTCCCGCTCTGCAAACCGGCGCTCCCCCAACTGAGCTAACCAAAGAAAAATCTGTCATAGGGTTTTGAAATTATTGAGATCTTTTGTAAAAATGCGGTTTTAAACATATGGCTATTAATAATCTCAAACGTTTTTTTACCTATAAGAAAATAAATAGCATTTTCGAGCATTTTTTGTAAAGGATACCAAAAATCATGGAAATCGGTTTAATCATTCCTGCGGAAAACGCGATTCAAAAACATAACCAACGCGCATATAAATAGGTTCGGGCCACCTTAATGAGGTAAAACGTTTTGGTTCCATAATGGGCACCATGCATAGTCTACGTCAAATTAGGCTTGAACTTCCACTAGCCAGCACAACTAAGTAGATATATTGGTTACTAGCTTTGTCATTTGGCATTGGAACATAATTAGAGCATTATCTCCGTCACTACTTTCTCAACCCTTTGACGTACATGCAAATTCATACTGATGCTGATGTTTTATCCACTAGGAAAAAACTCAGAAAAATCACCCCTCCCCCTCCCCCCTCCCCCCTCCCCACCTTGTACGTCCAAGCGACCGAAGTTAACTCTATGGCGTTTTTATAGATGATAAAAAAAGAAAGAAAATGAAACGCAAATGAAACAAATCGAGTTTTACTACGACTTCGATGTAAGGTGTGGTATTTAACAATTATTCCTCGAGCATTGTTAATGAGTAAAATCCAACTAGTTGGTCAAAAATATCGAGACAAAACAACTTTAGCTAGCAAAACGCGATTCGATTCAGCCGCCATTGTTTTGGTTTTCAAAGCGGGTGCTTTTCGCTACCAGTGGGCTATAACATATAGCCTAGTAGTAGCTCAACCAATCAGAACGCGGCATTGATAATAGACCACTAGTTCGATTTTACTAAAGTCAACTATTATGCCGTGCCCAAACAAGTAAGTCCTTCAACGAAATAGATGATTCGTCGATAAAGTTTAGTTATTCACAACAATTAACAAAAGGCTTTGCTGATTTAGAGTCAATTACTCATGCTTAAGTCTAGGAAGAGCAAACAACATTTTTTGTGAAGAATCTAACTTAGAAAGAGTTAAGAAAGTACTTCATAAATTGTGAAAGAGTTGTTCGAACGAACTAAAATTGCTCGGTCTTGACAGAAGAGATCATCGCTAACAAAATGAAAAGTTGATACATATGTGCGTAATTATCAGCATGGGGAAAAGTCTTGCAAAAGTTCACGACTTTAAATGTCGATTCGTATGCTTCAGCAAATATTTTCAGAAATTCTAAAAGCATTAAATATCTCAATACGAAAGAGAAAATATATTGTAATTTGCAATCAACAGTCTTTTCTGAAAAAAATTAAAACGGATATTAAGCTTTCAGACTAAATAACATTTTACATATTAATTTATTCAAGGGTTCGGCTGTGTAACTTGGGGTCCTTTATGCAAACTTGCCATGGAATCTCAAACTGATACTGAGTTCACCTGCTTACTTCAATCTATACACCCTCCGTAACCCTATCCTGGCTTGATATCGTTTTGAAAAAACTATTATTGATAAATGATTCTCTATTCATTTGAAATAAGAAAAGAGAAACACAACTATTAATCGCAATGATCTTGTTTTCTTGCTTATCTTCAAAATAGAATTTTTCCCAATTAACTGAACAAAGGAATAACTTTTTGTTCCGTATGTTATTTGGGGAAGATTTTCTTAAAATTTAGGATAATATGTAAGAAGAAATCAACATTGATCACATAACGCCAAGCATCCCTTTGAAAATTTCGTTACGCTTTGCCCTCAATTTTTGGCAGTTTTTTGTTGATGTAAGTAGACAAGAAGAAAAAGAAAATTAGCTAGTCATCTCCTGCTGAGTTGACTGGGAGCGAACTGGCCGGTGACCAATTTTCGATTATCAATAATTTACTTAGCTATATGAGCTTGATACTCTACGAATAATGTATTCAACTAAATGAAAACATTTGTATTGGGTTCGTTATTAAGTATTGATCAATATCAAATTGTCACCATCGCAACACTGTCTATATGCTGAAGTTATCAACTACTTTGGGAAAAAAGGTTCCAAGATACTGAATACCGCACCGAGACTCCTAGAAACTGGTGAGGATTTTCGTTTTGTCCCTTTCGTAACTTTAATGATTCCTTTTTAAACCGAGGGTAGGGGCGTTTTGTTGGAGTTTTCTTCTGTGTATCTCACTACCTCGTGGCTTGCCGTTAGTTTAGTACAGTGTAAGGCCCCAGCATCCTGCTGGTCAAGTTTCGTGTTCTTTAAAAGCTATTAATGAAGAAAAGTCTCAAAAAAAGTGCAAGAAGAGAAGAAATAACTGAGTTATTAATAAGTAGCCAATTGTCAAGGATTCACACAACTATGCACAGAATTGCAATTATTTTTGCACACACGATCAGATCTCAGTTTTTTATTCCTACAGTTCATTTTGTATAAGGAACATTATAGCTTCCCTCTTCGACTACTTCTGATCGGAGGAACTTCGTCTTTTCCTACAAACGACATTTATAAGGGAAGAAGTCCTGACGAAGCACCATAAAAGGCTTGCAACTATTAATTCTTACTGTTGTCGCGCGAACTCATCTACGTCGATGTTTGAGAATTTCAAAACGAAAAGGACCTCTGTGAATGTCCAGACGAATGACTTTTTTTTCTCGGTAGTAGTATGTTGCCGTCTAAAAGCCGTCTTTTTTTTTTCGTTGTTGTTTTTAATTATTTTAGCTCATGAGCGCTTAGTGCAGAAAAAACCTCCCCTGAGCCAAAAATAACACTACAAATTTCTAGAAATGATCGTTAGAATTCCAGGTAGTGACCACAGAACTCCTGCGGTGTCTTATTCATTATTTTATTTTAGTATATTTTCTGAATGGTATTAGAGGATCGAGCATCAAACGAAACGATATTTCCACAGTACGGTGAAAATAATGGCCTGTTCAGCGTGGAATATACTCCGGATTGAGAAATCGGGTTTTTTTCAGATGGTGAGCTCTAAAACTGTCTTTTTTCATTAATTTTTTATAGACATAAATGATTGATTGTCTGGTATGTCTTCGTGAAAGGAATTATTAGCGGCAACCATTTGAAAATTCCATTTTCATTAACGTGGGCGATCTGTTTGTCGTTAGTCAAATTACCCCTTGAATAACTGAAGCCGGCCGTGGGGTGATGACATTTACGTTTTAGCTTCCATTAACCGGTCGCGGGCCGTTAATTAACTGTGCCAGTTGACAATAGTATCGGTAACAAAATTAAAACTTGATGTGCTAGTTTCTTGTCGAACTTGTATTATTGCATGGTATTAAGTGCGGAAAGTTAGAGAAATTCGGCGCATGATCGATAAAACCCACAGCACGCTATATAGCTACTGCGAACATCGAACTAATCTCGGGAAACTGCATGGTAGAAATCTCATGTAAGTGCAGTTTTAGACTTTTCTAAGTAGATTTCTTTAAGGGTCTCCAAGTGCCTGTTTCCTACTTTCTGACGTTCTTTTTAAATTTGCTCATTGAAAATTTCACTGGCTTTTATGATTTCCCTTAAGTTGGAGAAAAACAGCTAATTAAAAGTAAAAGTTTTTTGCAATTCTGGTTCTCTAATAATAATTGTCACCTGCGTACCAATTCTGGAGTCAATACGGTGACTCTTTGCTTTCGCTACTGTTACCATCACAACCATCGTAACCATCAATTGACGATCCTTTTTTTATACAATTTACCTCGAGCAGATTTTACTATTTTTCAACAAAAACATGATACTTTTTAAAACTCTTATTTTCCCTCTGATCATATGAATTCGTATTATTGAGGACGATCATCGTTTTCCATCGTTTCGATAACGAGTTGAATGTTTGTGCGAGGGCGTTAAGGTTGCTAGTTATTTTACCGATTAAGTTTTAAATAGAAAACTAGGCTTCTACGCTGGTATCTGCGTTTCTTAAGGATATAAAACGGGGGCACCCAACGACAATTTTCGGAAAATATATGTTCGGAAGACGATTTGAGATCTAGAATTTTCGGAACATTTGTTGTAAAATTTTTTGGTTGCCTTCCTCTCCTAGGATTTTCGAACATCTAAAAACCACTATAATTGCCCATTTTTAACGGATTTTTACCCTTAAAAGGTCACCTAGAATTTTCGGGAGCCTTTTTTCTGGCTGAAATTTTCGAAAACGCAAGTTTTGATCCCTATAATTTTCGGATCACTAGACTTTCAGCTAGGAAATCCGAACAGATGAAAAATTTTGGGGGTATAAAAATATGCCTATATCTAAAATACGTTTAACAATGCTATGTTTAAGTGGTTTTGAACTATATTCTCGTTGGGTGCCCCTGATAAAATCACTGAGGAAATATAACCATTAAGTTTTCTTATCATGACACAAATTTAAGCTTAAGCAGACTGATCACAAAGGGCTTTTTTGCAACGAAGGGGAAGCAGTAGGGGTAACGAAAATCACTCTTTTATCGACTTTTGAAAGCAAACAACTCAATTTCGTGAGTGAGGCTTTCAGTTGTCTTTCCTCTTTTTATTTTCCGTTAACCCTTTTTTATTTAGGGGGTTTTGAAATGAACAGCGTCCGAGGGATGGCGAATTGCGAATCACTTCGGCTGTTATGTTGTGTTAACTCTTAATGGAAATTTGTATACAGCTTGTTTGTGATCATTAAACTTCCATTACATTCTTGTAACGTACTTAAAACATAGGAAAAGGCTACAAGTGACAAGATACGAAAAACATTTTGTGAAGTGCGAGTTTTAACAATTTACTTTTCTATACTTTAGCCGGGAGTTCCAGACATGACGGCGAGAATAGTGTTCCGTATCTCAGTTTTGGCTCTCCTGCTCTACCTCGCAGTAACTCAAAAATGTCCTGCAAGTGGAAGATCCGAGAGCTCCATCATTGGCTGGATGTTACGGGGACACGTATACGACACTCTTCTAGCCGAACTTCCGTTTACATGCGTATTCAAGTGTCGAGAAGACAATCGATGCCAAAGTTTTAACTGGGTAATCTCTCTTCTCACCTGCGAGTTTAACAACAGGACAAAGGAAGCCAGGCCGGACGACTTCATTCCAAACCCAGACAGATCTTACTATCCACGCGATTTAAAGCGAGGTAAGCCAGCATACCAAGGAGGGGCGGGGGGGAACTCCCTATAATGGCCTATACGGGGAGGGTCCGACTGAAAGGGTAGCGTTTGTCAGGCTTCAGGTATATCAAAAGAGTTAAATGATTTCACTATTTAAAGTAAATGAAAGGGTAGGAGACTCGTTTAGGCCTGTCAAAGGACCTAAACGGGCTAATAGAAGGATTTTGTGGCTAAAAAAAGTCGAGAGATTTCTTTTTTTCTGGGGAAGAGTGCGGTACTCGACAAAGTTTTGTACGGAGAGGCATTGCAAAAAATCAGTAATAAAAACCACAACGTTTCCTCGACTTTTTCACAAGCATGGAATGCTTCTGTTAGCCCTTTTGAGCCTTTTTACCCACGGAAATGACAGATTTCCCTACCCTTTTATATACCTCAACTTGTGAAATCCCTACCCTTTCATATACCTGAAGCCTGAAAAAGATACCCCGTTCGGCCGGAGCCTCCTCATATAGTCAAGCCATTAATAGTGAGTAACTCCCCTCCCCCGGGGACTAAGTTACATTTCCCAGAACTTCGCATGAACATTGTTATTATTATTAATCTGTATTTTGGATTAAATTGAGCCCACGTAATTGTTGGTTTTCACATGACGTCACTAAAATTCAAACTAAAAAACTATCGATTCTACCGTGATTTTACTTTCACGATGCATTAGAGCAGCTGAAAACTAATATTCATACAGATTTTCTCCTCAAAAGAGTTCTTGGTTTTCTGATAGAGGAATTTCTAAGCTTTTGCGTGACGCGGCATTTACATGACGGCCAAGAGAGTTGTCATGTAGGTTAAAAAAATTACTTATTTCAGGAAATTTTGCTATCTAAACAGTCGATATATTAGAAAAAGTATTACTTTAATGTTTATGAGTTTCTCGAAGAATAAATTCTCGCTTTTGTAGCAAAACTCGATAACAGATGTTTCTGTTGGTTTCCGTCCGCCATGTTGGAGCTCATGCAGGTGAGCACCAGCATGGCGTCTCCATACAAATCTCTGTAAATTTGGGTAAAACTTTTCTTCGGATATCTCGTTTACGAAACATTCCTCTGACCTGAATCTTGGCGAGGGTCTTTGTATATGTACCTCCTTTCATTTCCCAAATTTTGGACTTTATCTATTGAAAGGTTTTGATTTTTATTTTGATCTATTTTGAATGGCGTGACAATGAAAACTAGCAATATTTATCTGACTGTACAAGAGACCGATGCTCACAGATTTCAATCACAACAACGGTGCAAGTTCCAGATGAAAGGCTTTAAGGAACAAATTTATCTGGCAACTTTTTAAGCCATTGTGACGTGTACGTCAACATTGACGTTACCATGGAAACCGAGGTTTCAAAGCTGTGTTTTTCAAAATTTGCACTTTCTCTTAAAAATAGATTTTATTTTTATTTTTACTAATTGTATCATTATATTACACTTAATTTAGCATTATTAACATACTGTTAGTCACATTTTACTGACAACTTGGACGCACATCCTCACGTAGAATAGTGAAAAAAATAGAATGTGCTGGATTCGATTCCTGGAACTGCTTCTTATACTTTTACTTTTTCTTTTTTTTTTCTTTATTTCTTTCTTTCTTTTTTTCTTCTCTTGTTATTGTAGTTTTCTTTTTTTGTTTACATATTGTAGATTTTTATATTTGTATATTTTCTTTTCCTTACTGACTCTTTCCCTTCCCTTCTTCTTCTTGCAGTAAGCCCCAAGTGTTGCTCCCTCCCGGGCATTCAGTAAAAATATGCGTACTGATAAATTAATGAAGAACTTTTTTTTGGCCTTTCAGTTCCCCTTGGTTCCATTCAAGAATTGCCAGCTGAGACTTGTGACGAAATTAAGAGGAGTGAAGGACAGGCTGTCAGCGGGAAATACTGGTTTTCGACCATAAAATCTGGAACATCTGTTCTGGCTTATTGCAATATGAAGACCAACGGTGAGTTTGATCAGTTATGTCAGTTAGGGACAGACCATTAGCAAACCTATCGGGGGGCGCGCGAAGTACAAAAAAATTATTCGCGCAAGAGAAAATTAAATGAAAAAAAATTCATGCACGCCAATTAACCCTAAAAAATATTCATGCTATGGCCTAAAAAAAATTCATACGAAGAATTTGATAACGAAAAAAAATTCCTGTGGCACCAAAATCCAACCCCCCCGCGACCCCCACACTGGTCCCCCATAACTTATATCCCTTACCAAACCATATGTATTTTGAAACTGATTTTAAAGTGTTTAAAATGTATTTTCAGTATTTGAATACTATTTTCCTGTATTTTAATCCTATTTGACAAAAAAATTTAAATTTTCGCCCCTGTTTGGAATATATCTTAAGTGTAGTTAAATTATATTTCATCAAAAGGAAAACCTCTCTCATCAATTTACAATGTATTTCGTTTAATAAATATGATTAAAATAGGGTATTTCAAATGTATTTTGGGCATAGAACCACTAACACTGTTACAAACAGAGTTCAAATAGACTATTTGAAATATGTTTTAAGGGCTTAAATGCGACTGTTTTTTAAATACTTTTAAATAGGGTGCTTTAACACTGTTTTGAGTTGCATCTACAATGTATTTTGAGGCGCATCCACTCACAAAGTTACAAACATAATTCAAATAGACTATTTAAAATATGTTTTGAGAGCCTAAATGCTGACCGTATCTTAAATACTTTTAAATAGGGTACTTTAACACTGTTTTGAGTTGTATCGAAAATGTATTTTGAGACGCATCCACTCACAAAGTTACAAACAGAGTTCAAATAGACTATTTGAAATATGTTTTAAGTCCTTAACTACTGACCGCATTTCAAATACTTTTAAATAGGGTACTTAAACACTGTTTTGAGGTCTATTTGAATTGTATTTTGGGCACACAACACTCTGACTATAAAAACAGATTGTACATAAAATATTTAAAGTCTGCTGAAAGACATCAAATGCTGACCTTATTTTAAATACTTTAAAATAGGGTACTTAATTATTACTTATTATTATTGAGGTGCAATATTGTAATGTATTTTGGGATACTTATACTCAGACTATAAAAGTAACAATTGCACAAAGTTAATTTTTAAGCCTTCATCGTGTCACGAACTCATAAATGACTCAAAACAAGCTGTCATATTGTGGACCGGATTCTTCTCTCAATAAAGCTCGAGGCGGAGCCAAAAATTAAATCTCCCAGCAAATCAAAAAGAAATTGAAAAAAGAGAAGAAAATTAGGAATAGATTTTAGCTTTGACTGACAACACGTAACTGTGACAGTGTGCCGATAAAGGATCAATCCGTTCCTCAATGTTCATTACCTGCAAGCTCTCTGCGAAAATCTCCGCCTAGATTTTAGCCGTGATTCAATTAATGCAGCTACGGGACATTCCATAAGTTTTTTTAAAAGAAAATTCTTAAAATCACATTTTAATTTTCATGTAGAAATTTTTCGCAAACAGCCGAAGCCGCGGGCCGAGAACCGGATGCACGCGGTCAATTGAGATTTGTCTAAAATAAGTCCTTGAAATTTCATAATAATTAAAACAAACTATCCAAGCTAAGATCTCACCTCGTATATATTGCACTAAGAAACAACGCTCAGATCTGAATAAACTCCGACATATGGTTATCTTTCTCTCATAGACTATTCCGCACATGCATGGCATATTATTTTTGAGATGTCACGCGCGACTGAAATCACGACTTCGCGCCGCGGTGATGTGACAAATGCACGTGATAAGCAAACCGTCCTTTGTCCTTTGCTCATTTCAAATTATTGAACCGGCGGTTGCTCCCGGGCGGTTGCTGTGAGCTTAAATGCGCTTGATTTTACTGTTTGTTACGATCTTACAAAAGTACACTCCAACTCTGCGGATTGTCGGAACACGTAGATGTTGCTTTTATCACGAATCAAAAATGGTTATGACTCCTCAGCGACTGTTATGTACTTTGAAAGGTTCTGGTTCAGGAGAAGAGTCCAACAGTCTAATTGTAAGTATTAAATATACAATGTTACTAAGACGCTTAGATATACGCCATATGAGAAACAAATAAAGGGTAGTAAACATTTATATACTCGCGCCCGTACGGCAATTTTACTTTTTACAGGATTCCTTGCAGAGACTCGCTGTTTTGTATAAATGATCTCAGTCACTTGATGTCACGTCACCGGCCTCTTTCATTCTCGCGTAAATTTATTCGTATGCTGTTCTTTATCAGCCACTAATTAATGTTCAGGCGTAGCCTGCATTAAGCTTCTGATGATATTTGAGTAAAGCCGTGAATATAGTAAACAATGTAAGTTACATGCATGTAGATTAATATTTACCGGTAACGTCAGTAACGTTATACCCTTTTGAAGCCAAAGGTTGATAGCCTGTGTACATACCCCCCCACCCCTCCCCTCCGAGTTTTATTGAGGGAAGGGGTCTGTACACAGGCTAAAGATTGATTTGAGCATTTCTGAAAAATTCCATAAGAATTTCCCGAGAATTCTTAGGGAAATCAACGTAAAGTAATCGGCTAAGAGATAATTCTCTTGAAGTCCTAGCCTAGGACTGTGTGGAGAAATTTCGCCGAGGTAAATCTTGCTTTTTCAGGGTAATTTTCGACGGTTTTGTATTCATTTTATTTCATGAATTTAAATGGTATTTCCATCCTGTTTTTGTACTATTTTTATGCTCTTTCGACCGATTTTTATACTGTTTTTGCATTTTTGCATCCTATTTTTGAGGTATTTAATTCATAATATATGTGTGCTATTGCTTTTCTTCTTCTGTGGTATTTTAATACTGTTTTCAAAGTATTTTTATTGTATTTGCAAATACGAGTATTTTACTAAATTTCGAAACCGATTAAACAGCTATTAAAATATATTTTGAAGCATAACATTTTAATAGCGTTTTAAACAGGTTAAAACACCTTTAAAATCAGTCGAAAAATATATCAAAAATATATTTTTGTACCTATTTTAAACCTGTTTTTTTCAAAATACGTTTAAAATTGCCATTAAAAATAGTTTTAAAATAGTATAGTAAATTAAAATATGTTTTTGAAACTGTTTTTATCCTGTTTTTATTCCGATTTATAAGGTATTTAAAAACTGTTTTTGACCTGTTTTGAGCCTTGCAAAAGCCCTGGAATTTTTTATATATTTTAAAAGCATTTTAAAATACTTTAAAAATTCTTTTTTAATAGCGTTTTAAACAGGTTAAAACACCTTTAAAAGCAGTCGAAAAATACATTAAAAATACACTTTTTACCCTATTTAAAACCTATTTCACAAAACAGGTTAAAAACAGTTTTCAAAAATAGCTTAAAAATACATTCAAAACAGTGTTGGATTTGGTAAGGGATGTAATCGGCTACTGATTAAGCTTGTTACTTTTTTCGATATTTCATCACGCCGAATCGCTGACTATGTTAAATCGGGAGATGTAAACTAATCAAGCACACCCAAAAAACTTGAAAAAAAGAATTGTAAGCAAAAACTCATGTTAGATAGCAATGAGTACTCTTTGTGTCACATGTTGGGGGTTAATGTCGTTCATTAATGTTTGTTTGTCCAGACATTGACGAATGCAGTGCTTCTTCTCCGGTATGTGATATTAACGCAAACTGCTCCAATACTCGTGGATCTTATCACTGCACTTGCAAGGCAGGATTTACTGGCGATGGAAACACTTGCCAAGGTAAATAAGATAATTAAGCTAACCTGAACAGTTTCGTTCAGTTTAGTTCAGTTTATTTCCCGTTACAGACTTTACACGGGTTACAGGAAAATGTTGCTATAGATTTAATATGAAAGCTTGAGTTTTATGGCCAAGTGATAGCAATTATGTTTAAAATAAATACAGGCGATGAACCAGAAAGAGCAAAATTAAATACATAAATAAAAATAAACAAGAGCGTAATACTAGAAGAGATGTAAGAAACAGTGTTTTGAAAGAAGTGAGTTTAGGCAGAATTAGGTAGTGCTAGAACTGGATATTTCCATAAAAAACGTGTTTTTTTAATTAAAGTTGTTTTTCTTAGACATTGACGAATGCAATGCTTCTTCTCCTGTATGTGACATCAACGCTAACTGTTCCAATACTCGTGGATCGTATGACTGCACCTGTAAGGTAGGATACACTGGCGATGGAAAAGCTTGCCAAGGTAGGAGAAAATCCTTATTAAGCTAATTTGAAGGACAGTTAGTTTACTTTACTGCAGCTTTTCCATCAGAGATGGGGCAGCTCCTGGAGACGTGTGATCATTTAAGATGGCGGCTAATCTGAACGAGATCGGCATATCCGTCGAATCAGACCGTGTTAAGCTCCTGGTATTGGACAATATCGGAATGTTGTGTACTACGCTTCTTTAAGGGGTTGCCTAAAAAACCGCAGCGTTTGAAGCCAGTTATTTAACGAAAAGTGATGTTTAAATTACTCAGCAAAATCGTCAGTTGAATGCCATTAGAAAACTTATGAGAGGTGGGGGGCGGGCGAAGTACAAAAAAATATTCCCGCAAGAGAAAATTAAATGAGAAAACAAATTCGTGCACGCTAACTAACCCTAAAAAATGTTCATGCTATGGCCTAAAGAAAAATTCATACAAGGAATTTGATAACGAAAAAAATTCCTGCGGCACCACAATTCCCAACCACCCCCCTCGCCCCCGCCCCCCGGTTCCCCATAACTTATATCAGTCGAATCGGCGACTGATTCAGCTTGTTAATTTTTTCGATATTTCATCACGCCGTATCGCTGACTAAGTTTAACCGGGAGATGTAAACTAATCAGGCATACAAAAAAACTTGAAAAAAGAAATTTTATGCAAAAACTCATATGTTAAATAAGAATGAGTACTCTTTGTGTCACATGTTTAACCTGAGATCAGGCCCAATTTGAGCGAGTCTCATACATTCTCTCTAACGGCTACCGCTGAAATTTAATTCTCTTTTCGTTTCGCCATGCCCGCCGGAATGTTATTTACAAAGCGAAACGAAAATAGAGCCTGATCTCAGGTTATCACATGTTGGGGGTTAATGCCGTTCATTAATGTTTTTTTGTCCAGACATTGACGAATGCAGTGCTTCTTCTCCGGTATGTGATATTAACGCAAACTGCTCCAATACTCGTGGATCTTATTACTGCACTTGCAAGGCAGGATTTACTGGCGATGGAAAAACTTGCCAAGGTAGGAGAAAATCCTTATTAAGCTAATTTGAAGGAAAGTTAGTTTACTGCTGTACCATAAGAGATGGGGGAGCTCCTAGAGACGTGTGATGGCGGCTAATCCGGTGACGTGCTCCAGACCTCGGGCACAAATTTCTTAAATTTCCTTCATAACTTCATCGACACATTACCACCAGTATTTTTTGACTATTTTACCTACCGTTTCTGAGTAAAACTACCGCTGTGAAAATACTGTACAAGTAAAACAGGGCCTATTATGCACTGCCACGTCCTTGGCAGCGTGGATTTGGATTATAAAACGTATCGAGAAGGATCTTTCCTCAAACCCTTTTCTTATACAGATGTGAACGAGTGTCAAAGAGGATCACACTCTTGCCATGCTCAGGGTCAGTGTGTTAATGTTCCTGGCTCCTACTCTTGTAAATGTTTACCAGGCTACACGGGCGACGGAAAAAGCAGATGTGAAGGTACATATTTCCAAAATTTAATAAGTATAAAGGACTGGCCATAAGTATGGGGGGGGGGGGTGTGCTGGGGACAGAGAAGTGGTGGGTTATCAGTTTTTTCACCCAGTGGAAGGGGTGGGTCGATCAATTTTCAGCTAACCTTTGGTGGTCCGCATATCTAATGAGCGGCACGGGTGAGATAATAATGGGATAGTTGGCCACAGTAAAAAAACATAAAACAAAGCAATCTAAAACTATTGCTTTGAAATTTTTTTTAAACATCTTGACTTGTGTCTTTTTTTAAAAGGCAATTTTAATGCAATTAAATGTATGATGTTTGGTTTTTACATTTCATTGCTGTTTAACATTCTGCTAACTTAGTAACCCTTGGACGTACAAACCAAGCGAACCACGTCGGCACGACAATTAATTAGATACGATAGGCTTTTTTATTCAACTGTAATCCGTTAAAGAATCAGTTCCCATAACCTGAAGGCTTTATTGATTGTGATCAATAATAACATAACTGGCTTTTACAGTCCTCTCAGTAAATCAGCGATCTACCAACAGCCCTAATCCCTCCATCAACTGTTGATGTCCATGCACGCGCTTTAAATCGGTTTTGCCTTACACTTTTTTAACAGTTCCTACAATGACGGCGACAAGCTCCTGCTCTAATCTTCTTGTGCGTGACGCCAGCAAACCAAGTGGTACGATTTACTCAACTCATAGATATAGAGGCTCGGCATACAGTAGTAATATGGATTGTCGATGGAATCTAACTTCGAATGCAGTGATTGAACTTTTGTTCTACTATTTCACCACCCAATCGTCGACGGACTATGTACGTGTGTACGATGGTGACTCGATCCCCGCACCTCTGATTGGCGACTTTAGTGGAAGCTCCCTCCCAGCGCCTATCACAAGTTCGTCCACCAAGCTATATGTGCGGTTTACATCTGATGGCTCTTCAGAGTATAGAGGATTTAACGCGCGTTACCGAGGTATTTTTATTGGTAGACAAGATGAATAGAAAAAGCTCTGTGATCTTTATTAGCGGGCTCCCTGGTTAGTATGATAAAAACTTCCCAGCCGTACACACGAAAACGTAACAACAATCTAACAATATTTATTTTCGGTTCAACTATTTGTGCGAAATTAGACTTTGATTGTATATCTAGCTGGAGTTTTGAAAACGTTAGCCAAAAACTATCTCCAAAGTAGCCAATATAAAAGCTAACTAGGATGCAACCAGTCCTTTTTTTTCTCTTCTCCTCCTTTCAGTTCTCCTCGTTCTTGCCCTTCTTAAGTAGATTATAGGCCTTGGTCTAATTGGTTTTATTACGTTTGGAAAATGACTATGGCTATTACTGGCTATTACTTCGGCACAGAGGATGGAGGAGAATCAAAATTTGGCACACATAAAAAAATCCTTGTCCTTAACATAAAGTATATAAATGCTGTGTTAATAAGTCATGTGATATGTCACGTGGCCAGTTTTTTTTTTAATCTTAAATAATTGACAAACTGGTAACGGGTTTAAGGAAAGAAATCAAGTAATTGATAACATTTTTTCTCATTCATATTAAATATTTCTAACACTCAAAGTCAAAGTTTATATAGAGATTTTGCAAAGTATTTAAGGATAAAGACAATAGCACTAGCCTGCAAAATTGCTAGCGCTAATCTAGGTGGGTAGTGGAGAGACTATGTACAGTGTAAATTTATTAGTAAGTTCTACATAATTAATAACCTAAAAAATATATATATATATATATAATATTAATAAGCTAAACATATATCTAGCCGGATTTTTGGAAACGTTATCGCCAAATGGACCTTTTCCGTCCAACAGTTTTCGGTCAAAAACTATCTCCAAATAGCCACTATAAAAACTGCAAAGACTGCAACCATTGTTTCTTCTCTTCTCCTCTTTCCGTCTCCTCACTCTTTCTTTTTCTCCTTTCCTTTTCTTTCGTTCTTGGCTTAAGAAACCTTCCTTTTGACGCCTTTTCACTCAAACGGCTGCAAATCTCGTTAGGTTGGTTTTCAAAAAATCAACATGATATAAAGATGTGCGAATAGATAATCGATGTTAAGGACTGAAAGGAAGAAAGTGGGTAAATAAAGCTACTTTAGACATACATCTTGAAACTTATCTATACGGGTGGGTATACCAACATAATTATCCTCTCCCTTCACGTTTGGAATGACTGTCCATTGCACTTTCGTAAAAATTATGAGGGAAAACATCATTTTAAATGCTCAAAATTAATCTTTAATTCTTAGAACTTTAATTCTAAACCTTGCGTACATTCACTCCAAACGTAGAAAATAAGTATGTGTACAGTGTATCAGAAACGCCAATTTATTTATCCAAACAAAGTAAATTCGCCACCAACTCGCCAATTTCCTTCATTTTCAATTTTTGGTCGCGTGACATTTTACGAGAACATAATTTTAAGGCACAAGAAGACCTCAAGTCTGCCCAGACCTTAAACCCTTGAGTTTTTACTTTCTTTCTCCTTCGTTAGTGTGATATTCGGCCATATCACTCGGCAAATGACTGCAAAAATTGCTGGGTTGACTTTCAAAAATTCCGCTAGATATGTAAAAAGCTGTGAGAGAAGAATAGCTAATTATGTTTAGAAGGTAAGTCCAGCTACCCCGATTCCGGAGAGGAAACACAGGACATATTTAATGAACAAGTCGACACTAGCGACAAAAGTCCCCCCGCCCCTGACCTTTGACCCCACTAAAACGGACTTTTAGAAAGCGTACATTATAAAAAATACGGTATAAAATTTAAACCAACTTTACCTTTTATTTGAACGCTAGCTGTGACATCCGGTTCAGTTCGTCTCAAAGATGGCACCCCACTGGCTGGAAGAGTTGAAGTGTTCTATGATGGTCAGTGGGGAACAGTTTGCGAAGATGCTTGGGACATAAATGACGCTAACGTGGTCTGCAGACAGTTGGATTTGTCGCAGTCAGCTACTAACGCTTGGAGCAGCGCCTATTATGGTCAGGGCTCCGGTCCCATATGGATAGATGACGTGGCCTGCTCAAGTAGCGAATCACATATCTACGATTGCAGACACCGTGGATGGGGAAACAATGACTGTACACACAGCAGAGATGCCAGTCTGCAGTGTTCGGCTAACATTCGTTTGGTGAATGGCAGTGTTAATTATGGCCGAGTTGAAGTTTATCACAACGGTCAATGGGGCACAGTGTGTGATGATTACTGGGATATCAATGACGCTCATGTAGTTTGTCGTCAGCTTGGTTTCCCCAGTGCGTCCTCGGCACCTCATCGGGCACAGTATGGCCAAGGATCTGGCACTATCTGGATGGATGATGTCCATTGCAATGGAACAGAGGCTTCATTGTTTCACTGTACACGTAATGGTTTGGGAACACACGACTGTATCCATTGGGAGGATGCAAGTGTGGTCTGTAACACTTAAATGAACTGTTTGCGCATGGGGCCATGCTTAATTTGGGTTCATAGAACAGGGGCGGATCTAGTTGGAGGGTGCAGGGGGTGCGACCCCCCCCCCCCGAGATAACCTGCGGTTTTCTAATACAACTGGTATTCTGTCAAAAAAAAAAAACTGTGTGGTTTATTGGTGCTGAAGTAGAGCAAGAGATGAGTGCACCCCCTCCTAGAAAAAATCCTGGATCCGCCCCTGTAGAAATTCAAATGTGTATCATGCCTATTATCTCAACACTGATTCTAAAAAGTCTAAAAAGCGCTTACGTGTGACAAGAATTAACTTAGATGAATTATAACAAACGAAGTTGTATTTCTAAAGATATAGCTGTAAGTAAAATTCCCAGTCTTATTAGACTATTTTGTTAAGCCCTAAAGGGAGCCATGTCACGAGGATTTTGCTGTTTTAATTTCAATTTTGTGCCGTAAAATAAATCATTACTCAGTGCCTTCACACGTGTAAAGTGATACTGTAGAATTGTGAAGAATATATTTAACACATTTTGTCAAGGAACACAGCTGAACCATAATAACTTTTACATGTAATGGTAAGTTTTGCAGGCATTACATTAAAACTTGAAAAAATTGGACCTCAATGCATGTCCATTCTTCTATAAACTAATTAACATCCTTAGCACTGCAGGCAGCGGAGGTCTATGTTTTCAAGACGAGAGTTAAACGTTGAGATATATGCGTTAGCTTGCGTTATCATATGGCTGAGATCCAAATGTCGAGAAAATTGCTCATATGCAAAAACCATAACACCAAAGGTTTACCAAATCGTTTGAAGAACTGTTCGAGAACAGTAGTTATTTTTCTAGTATATAATCATCTCTGGTCGTATCTGCAGGTGACGAGCCTTGTAAGGACGAAAATCAAGGTAAAACTTCCCTCCCATTAGGTTTGAATTTCGGCGCGACCAAAGAAAGGAGTAATCTCATCCCAGGGGGAGGGTAAGGGTTGAGAAACTTGTAAAAGACGAATTGGTAGTAAGGCCCGGTTGTACAAAGTTTGTAAACCTACTCGCCATTATAGTGAGGATAATAAGGGACTTACATAGCAGAATTATTTATTGAAACGGCTTAATCCTGAGTAGTCGGCGGGTTTTTTTCCGCGTTTTTTGTTCGTGTTTTGTCAAGAAAGAGGCTAAGCGAGAAAACGATGGAGGAGTAGGCGAGAGAGCGCCTGCATTCAACCCAGGATTCAACCCCCATAGGCGATTATCACCTCCCCCGGTCTCCTACAACGACGATTTTGTAAGCTTATTACGCAACGATCCTCTGATTACTGAGAAATAAATGAATAAATAATAAATAATTGATAAATTTGAAGATAAATAAATAAACGCGGAACAAATCCAAAAGTTTTTTTATCAGGAGCTCGGCTTCTGTTCCCGGGGGGTACTCCCTTATATAAGCCATTTAGTTAGAGGTATGTGTCGCAGGGTATGCACTTTGCCCATTTGGTCTAGCCTGGTCTAGCCTGGGTATGGTTTTCAAGGGAACTACAGGAGTGCTGAGCGTATTTATCGTTTCAATTCCAAATAAATAAAAAAGAAAGAGTATAACTCGACTGCTTTTGATTCCCTAAGCAATACATACTACATAGGAAGGTAAAATACCAAAAAGGAACAAACTTTTAATCCTGGATTAGTGCTAATCGGCCTTTCAGGAACTGGACTCCAGTGGATAGCGCTATCCCCCCCCCCCCACCTTTTGAACAACTGGCGCCAGCTGAAAACGGGTATGGATTTCAGAGGTCAGGGCCTAGTTGTTCGAAAGGCGGTTAACGCTTTCCACTGGATAAATCTCTATCCAGTGGATAGAGCAATTCACCTTCTGAGCGTCAGATTTCACGTGTACTTTCAAGTGACTTTTGATGACCTTTGTTGTAAACAAACCCCTAAAGTTCGAACATCCGTTCCTTAATTAGTTATCCGCTGGATAGTATTAAATGTCAGTACGTAATTTATCTGCTGGATAGCGTTTGAACAACCGGAGCCTGGTCTGAAAACGGGTGTAGAAAATGACATTTTTTAGTCTGAAATGGGGTCAGGATTAGGAGAACGTACCAGGCGGCACACCCCACCAAGAATTCCCGGGAGCACCCTTTCCCCCCCCCCCCCCCCCCCCGAACTCCTGTTTAAAAACTCGCGACATGTAATGAGAAGGAGTGGAAACTAGTGGTTCCCAGGTTTTCTTTGTTGACCATCGTTCATGAACTGATAGACACCCCTGAACACGGCATCAAAAGTTAGTTCGCTTATTTCCGTCGAGGGAGGTAAGGCCATCCCCGGTCCCTATCGCTAAATGAAATAAATATTCCTAACACTTGATAACTTTTGTTTTCGCCACTACCGACATTCTCCCTAAAACTAGGATTAGAATGACGACTTTTATGATCATGACATTTTCCCGCCAAAAGGACGCTGGTTCGGCACGAGCGCACTACATAGTATTGGGAAAGTCTCCGATCCTCGTCTTAGAAACTAAAGCTCTCTATTCATTATCTGGGTAACCGTCATATTTAATTAAGTCATCTAGGGTATCTTATAAAATCCTCGGACCTAGGGTTTGGCAATGTTTGAGAGTATCATGATCAGTTCCGGTTTTTTAAGATAATTTTTTGTATAGGTCCGTGTGAAGGAATGTGAAACTGGAATAAGTGAAGAACTCTCGTGGCCAGAAATACCAACACCACAAACTAAATCCACTAAACAAATGAAGATTATTTTATTTAATACCGTGAGATGAGTGGCTAATACATTGCGTGGTACAAAAATTACAAGTTGCTAAAAACGAAAATTTGACATAAACAAACACCAAAATTGCAACAAAGAGTGGGCTTCGTGTGAAACACGCTTGCGTTGTTATACGGCCAAGGAAAACTGCCGCGGTAGCGGACTGCGTAAAACGCGAGGAAACGTAGAAAAGCACTGAAGAAAACTGCGCTTAGCGCAGACTGAAACAAACTGAAAATTGTTCTGAGGAACTGCGGTGTAAAATACGGTTGAATCATGGTTGAATGTACAGAAAACAAAAGTGACGAAAAGGCTCTAATGAAGATGAGAAAGATCAAAGAGACGCCGCGTGAACGAAGGCGTGAAAAATGACACAAAGAACTCAACACCTAAACTCGCTTAAAGAATCTAAAAATAAACGTATAAAATAAACTACAATTAACAAACTTGATTAAACGTTCGGAGAAAGAAAAAAAGGCATTCTGAAAAATTGTTGCACTTTGATCTAACAGAATGTGACACGAAAATGACGTCATCGCACACTGCTTCTTTAAACTTCCACTTACACCAGTAGTCACACTTTTGCACCTGCAAATTAAAGCCTCCGTGTAGAAGGCCTAAATGTAATAAACGACCCTAAATGTAATAACATTTTGTCCTAAATGTAATAAACTCTTAAGTTGCAAATTACGGTAATTACTCAAATAAGCGCCGCATTTGGGATTTAATAAGCGCTGCGGCGCTTATTCGCGTAAATAGGGTACTAAGAGGTATTACTATGGTTTTAAACGCCTCCCTCAAATAAGCGCCGCATTTTGGACAAAAAATTTAGTAAGCTTCGGTGCATTTCCTTATGCACTGTGTAACTTGACATTTACAAATAAATTGCTTGTAAAGGGACAAAATAAAAACAAAAAAAACTTGTAAGCCTTAAAAAGTTTTTCAAACTTCATTTTTGTTAAAGAAATTTACTGAAAAAACCGTGGACGAAGATCCTGTTGCTTGTCAACGTTGGATCTCTAGAAAAGAGATCTATTAAAGCAGCCAAAATATTAAGAACAACAAACGAGAAGTCTAAGGACCTGTTTACATGGAGGAGGGGGACCTCAGGTAGATGAGGTAACCCTCTGGTGGGGTAACCCGCCTGTCCACATAATCTCTCATTTTAATTTGATCGCGTTTACATGATAGGTGGGGTGACCCGCCGCATACCTATCTGGGGTCTCCCACCTCCATGTAAACAGGCCCTAAAGACTATTGCACAACTAATAACAACGTTTATAAATAACTAAGATAGTGCACGTGCTCTTTGATTGGCCGAGAGATGTTCCCAGGGAGGTTAACACTGTTAAAAATTGAACCCAGCATCTGGCATTTGCATTTGGTCATTATAATTCGATTTCAATTTTTCTCCTTAAATAAGTCACTAAAAAGCCTAGATTACACGAACAGTTAAAATAAATTTGATAGAATATTGCTAAATTAAGTGCAATGCTGTAATTCAATAGGTAAAAAAATCCCTTTTTATAAGTGTGGAGAGAAAACAAATTTTGAAAAACATGGCTATCAAGACTCGGTTACCATGGAAACGTCAGTGTTGATGTACGCAACAGGACGAGTTTTAAACTTCCCGGATATTTGTTTAGGAAAAGTCGCTAAGTTTCCCCGGCGAGAAGACCATGGATAGACCATGGCCAGCCATGGTTGCACCATGGTTGGACACCGGTTTCCAACAATGGTCTACCATGGTTTGACAGTGATACAACCACGGTTTGACCGTGGTCAACCATGAATGTTAAATGGCACAAATTGGTTGTCATAGCATAAACGGTTTTGAGGTTATTCACTTTTTAAATAGCGAGGAAGAGTTTCGCAAGCCCCCCGGTCTGAATAGGGTTGAGATCGATAGCTTGTTTTCTTATTCACCTGTAGGCGAGCATTATTCAGTAGAATCGAGAACAATCTCGAAGCCAAGTTTATAACATAAGATGTATGGCTATTTGCAAATTTTTATCTGTACGGCACTTTGCAGGACTTTTACTCTTCCGACTCTGACCACTCAAGTGCAGTACAATGCTTAATTAGTTAACTAGGTGAATTACAAAAAGTTAGTTAGTAAAGGAAACTGAGAAAACACTAAAAGGAAAAAATGAGTTAAGAAATGGCTAAATCAACAAGAAGTATGGCAACTCAAAAAAGCCTTTATCTTTGCAGCTCTTTTAAAAACAAACCAAACCCCACTGAAGCAAACCCTATGTTACGAAATTAAAGTCCATGAGAGACTGGCCAAGATTTTTGGGTCAGCCACCAAAGTAACAAAGTCTGTTTTATTGTCATCTCTCTTCTCCTGAAATTAATTCTCCCTTAGCCTTAGAGAGTCAGGGGAATCAAGAACAAACGCTAAGCCAAGAAACCGGAGACAAATTTCGAACTGCACTTCAGTTACGTACCATCACTATACAGAACGTACAAAAAGAAATCACCACACAGATTGAACAACTAATACCCACCAAGTACTGTAAGTCAAGTG